GGAAATCAAGGACATGGACCTTGACGACTACATCAAGCGGTTACTGGATGCCGGTTACGCCGGCAAAGTAACCAAGGGCGTCTGCCTCAAGAATGCCGAGATTGTCGCCATCTGCCAGCGGGTTCGAGAAGTGCTCCTCTCTCAGCCGGCCCTGCTGGAACTAGACGCACCGGTCAAGATTGTGGGAGACGTACACGGTCAATACACGGATCTCATCCGTATGTTTGAGATGTGCGGGTTCCCCCCAATGGCCAATTACCTCTTTCTAGGGGACTACGTCGACCGAGGCAAGCAATCGCTCGAGACCATCCTGCTTCTGTTGTGTTACAAGCTCAAGTTCCCCGAGAACTTCTTTCTCCTCCGTGGCAATCACGAATGCGCAAATGTGACCCGAGTCTACGGTTTCTACGACGAATGCAAGCGAAGGTGCAATGTCAAGATTTGGAAGACTTTTATCGACTGCTTCAATACGTTGCCCATTGCTGCCATTGTAGCAGGCAAGATATTCTGCGTACACGGTGGTCTTTCGCCTGCTCTGAGCCACATGGACGACATTCGAGACATTGCTCGACCGACAGACGTCCCCGACTATGGTTTGCTGAATGACTTATTATGGGCAGATCCTGCGGACATGGAACAGGATTGGGAAGCAAATGAGAGAGGCGTCAGTTACTGTTTCGGTAAACGCGTTATCACCGAGTTTCTTGCTGTACACGACTTTGACCTCATCTGTCGAGCACATATGGTGGTCGAGGATGGCTATGAATTCTTCAACGACAGGGTCTTGGTCACTGTCTTCAGCGCGCCAAACGTTCGTGTTCCCAAACCCCAACTCGAAAGTATGTTGTTACCCAAGGAGAAACTGACCGTGTTGCACACACAGTATTGCGGCGAATTCGACAATTGGGGCGCCGTCATGTCCGTCTCGTCGGAACTTTTGTGTAGTTTCGAGCTGTTGAAACCGCTGGATTCCAGTGCTCTGAAGAGTCACATTAAAAAGGGTCGTAACAAGCGACAACAAATGCTCAACAGTCCCGTAAGCCTCTTTTGCGTGGCACACACTGTCGATTCACTCGGATGGCTTCGTACTGACCAATCTTTCACAGCCGGCGAGCGTACAGCCTCAGAGCGTACCTTAGACGCCCCTTTCTTCCCCGAAAAGGCTGTGCCATCGATGCATTTTCGGTGCACATGCGGGAGAAGGAAAAGCGTCGATCACCAGATTTGCTGCTCTTACCAATCAAGAAGGCTCGAGCTGGGATTGGAAGTTCGATGCACTCTTGAATTGACACTGATCTGCCAATGATCTAGCTTGTCCCATGAGTCACGAACTACGCAACGTATCATTTTTTATGGAGTGATATACGTATACGGGTTGACGTTTTTTTATGGTGTTTTTTTTTAGCATTTTTGCTGCTCTGGAATCTGGAATGATCCAGGAAGCGTGTCCTTGTTGAAAAATTGCTGTGTTATAATGACGAACAGGCCGGGTCAATTCTTTCTCAGGATGGAAATTGTTTGGGGCCAGTGGTTAGCTTGGGGTTTCTGGCAAGGATAATCTGGGAACTAGACACGTTGTTTGCCTACACTATTGGGGTTGTGGAAGAATCAGAGGCCGAGTCGCCTTGGGATTCGTAGTTGCACGAGGCCTCTGGGTCTGCGCCATCTTTGTCGCCTTGCCCACAAGATTTGGCATTGACTGCATTACAAGAAGAGATGGAAAACGCGATGTTTGGCTCTCTACGCAAGAGGGGTCCTTCGCACCGGCGGCGTTTGGAGTATTTAGTTCAGGCATATTCTTTTTTGGTATCTGGGGCCTTGAAGTCCCACATTGCCTCGTAATATACGTTTAAAGGGGTCTTCTTTTTCTTCTCCTTTTCTTTCTTCACCGGGAAATCACCGCAAGGCGATGAATGTAATGGATGAGTTTAAAGTTGGGTGCATTGACCGCCTGCCCGACTTGTGGGTAGCCATGCGGCAGAAAATATGTAGGTCCCTATTTTTGAGGCACCACCCCCCCCCCCAATGCCTCACTGATGACACCAGCGTCCAAGCCATCATGAATGTCCAGACCTTGCGCTCGGCATGCTCCCGGGCAAGGCCAGAGGTTCAAAAGACCGGAACAGCCTTCAAAAACTACTTTCGCGAACTTTCCACCTCCCAATCGCTCGCTGAAGACAATGCTGCACCACCACCCAACCCGGACTCCAAACCATCCGTCCGCCAACGATCAAGAGCTGCCACGAGCGAGATCAGTTCTTTTGTGAGAAAACCTGGCAGCCCGGCAACATTCCAGCCGTCGTCTGCGCCAGGTCTCCAGTCAGCATCAACCTCGCAACCAAAATCCATCATCGATGTTCGGAGTCTACCACGAGGCTTGGGCACGCGCGGCCGTGGCACCTTTGCAGGACGAGGACGAGGACGAGGCCAAGGCCAAGGTCAGACCGGCGCAGGCACCCAAGGTCAACCCCCCCGAGCGCAGTCCCCCGCCTACGGGAACAGATTTTCTCGTCCCGGGGGCGCAAACGCCGGAAGGGGGGGATCAAGCCTCCGAGGCGGACGAGGAGGCCGTGGGGGGGGCGCAAGGGGGGGGCGCGGCGGTCGCGCAGCAACCACCAAGGGACGTCGCTCAAGCAAGGACGACGCCGACAAGGACGGCAAGACATTCGGCAAGCGACAGGATCCGTTTGAAGTCATGGACCCTTACGAAGAGCAGTTCGACAAGGACATGCGGTTCGGCACCAAGACCACGTACGCGCCCTCGCTGACTCTTGACTCCCTCGCGGCGTTTGCCCCAGCCGTGCCGACGAGCGAGGCCGGCAGGAAGGCAACCGTCCTGGAGAACCTGAGTGCGCTGGGCACCGCTGACCCCGTCGGCGCGCCGCAGGACTTGCAGGCCGCTAGCTACGCTGCGGATCTGGAGGCCCATGGGGTGCGGTTCTTCGCCGACAGCAAGGCCAAGGACGCGGCGGAGAGGTACCTGCAGCAGCAGAAGGAGGACGAGGCCGGCGAGAAGAAGGATGATGATGTGCTTGTCTCGGGCGCGGAGGAGTCGGTCCGCAAGGTGATTTTCGAACAGGCCGTCATGGGGGAGCACGAGAGGATGACGTTTTCGACGGAGCCGGCTGGGGTCTCGCGGACTTGGCATTTGCGGGCCGAGACGTGGAAGAAGAGCGATCTGGACAAGTTTGAGAACAAGCTGACTTCTTTGGTGGGCGGTACGAAGATTGCCAAGGGGAATGAGAATGCAAAGGGCGCTGAAAAGAGGAAGGCTGCTGAGGTGTAGTTTGGGGTTTTGTACAACGTGTATTATAGCACCAAGGGCAATTTATAGGTCCCCCTCGCATCTTGACAACACCAACTTGCTTCCAATTGCAAAAAAAAAAAAAAAAGGCGGTCATTACTCCTTAGATGGGTTGGGCGCCGTCGTCTATCTAACATGGGGGTTGGTTGCTGGTTGCTTTGGTTTTGGACCCCGACGTGTCAACAACCCACTGGCCCATTGACGAAGAAGAAGAGGATGACGATTTTGCCATCTTGAGTGCGATGGGCGTTTTTTTTTTTTTTTTTCATGACTTTTTCAATTCCCACAACAACTACATCTGATGTTGCAATGTTTATATATGTACAGATAGCCCCGTCCGTCCGTCCCGCGTTCGCTTCAACAATGCACCGGGGGAGTGCAACCAACTCTCACCTCCTCTCCAGCATCTTGATAGTCTGCGCCTCCTCCCCATCAATCTCCCTCATCTTCCCGTCCTGCACCCTCTGCAGCTCCCTCTCGGCCCTCTTGGCCGCGTCCTTGAGCACGGTGCCGTCCCTGGCCCACCCCTTGATCACCTTGTCATGCCTGGATCTCGCCTGCCGGACTTGATCCCTCCACCCCTGCGCCGCCTCCTTGACCCTCCTGACGAGCTCCTCCTTGCGCTCGGGCTCGACCCTCATCAGGAGCTCCAGGTCGTTGTCCTCGCTGCGCTGCGGCTGCTGGTTGAACTCCCTGCTGGCCTGGACGGCCGACATGATGGGCTTGATGTACGCCCTCTCGTTGACGAGCAGCGAGATTGTGCGGCCCCCCGAGCGGGGCACCACCTGCGCGAGCTCGCCGAGGGGAAACGTCTCGGGGGTGCCGTCGGCCGACTTGACGGGGATGGGGAGCGCGCCGAGGCTGGACGGGTTGAAGCGCCCGCCGTGGAGGATCGTCTGTAGCTGCGCTCTGAAGTGCGTGTCTTGCGGGGCGAAGGCGGCGAGGAGGGAGGTGAAGTCGAGGGGGTCGAGGGGGTCGGGCGATGATGGGGTCTGGGACGCCGTCGCCGTCGGCGGTGAGTTGGCGGCCGGTGCGATCTTGCGCTTCTTGAGGGTTGGGGACGAGGCGTGGAAGAAGCGTCGCGCGGTTTGTCGTTGTAAGAGGAGTGGTCTGAGGGAGCCGAGTTAGTTGAGGTTTTGGAGTGAGTGGAAAGAGGAGCTCACGCTTACGCTTCGATGGAGGTGGCGAGACGGAGAGCTCGGCGGAGCATGCTGGAAGTGGTGAGCGCCATGGCTGGGAATGTATGTAGTTGGTGGTGGTGGTGGTGGTGGTGGTGGTGGTGTGGTGATGGGTTTTTGGCGATAAGATAAGGTGGTATTTGCGCGGGCCAGGTTTGGGATATCCCCGCGACGGGGGCTGCGAGATGATAAGCAAGAAATTTAAAAGGAAAGAACCAACAAGACTCTCTTCCCTTTCGAGCTTGTTGCAAAATCGCTCCATTTTGACATTGTTAGTGAGGAAAATCTGGGACAATCTGGGACGGGGTGGGACGAGGAAAAGTTTGACTGTTTGTAGGTGTCTAATAATAGGGCGTTGAACTATACGTCTCAATTGACACAGCCAAATTCATGCTTGCTTTCCACGTGTGTTGAGCAGATCGCGCAGGAAGTCGACAAGGAAACACCAAACATGTATCACGACTTTCAGGTACCACCAACCCCCGAACATCATCACGGGCTAGCAAAAAGTACTATCATGTCCGCACTAGGGATCGAACCTAGGACCTTCCGCGAACCGATAATTCCACATGTAAAGCGGATGCACTACCACTATGCTATACGGACGTTGACGAAGGTGCATCTCTTATTGATATAGATATTGTCTTGTTCTTGAGACGGGGCGGTGGCAGAATACTTCAAACACATGTTGCCATTGCACATGCCGTGGCACTACAGCAGATTGATTGCTCACTTGGTTGTTCCATCAGCAGAAGGAACCGTGGGGGAAGATCTTTGGCAATCGAGGTCGGTGAGGCAGAGAGGTATCAACAACAAGTCAAGTCTGGCTCAATTTCTGGACCTTCACAAGGGGAGAGAATCATCAAATCACCTGAAGGTCTAGAAACCAAGTTGTCGTCCCAGCATAGGATGCTCAGTACAATGGGTCTATGGACTCGAATGATTGAGTATCCCAGGTATTTATCGACATGGACTCTCAAGAGGCCGGAGATTCCTGCCATATCACCAGACATGTTTGCACATGCATGGTCAATGTTACGGCTGGGTGAGGCGTCGTGTGGTGACAAGATGGTTTCCGGCCCTGAGCCACGGTTATTTTTCCCACTGGAGCCCAGTTGGAGTTATTGGGTACTGCATGATGATGGATTCTTGATGTGCGTTTCTAATCTACTCAAGCTGCATTAGTCCAGCGACTCTTCTGGACGAGAAGAAAACGTTGCATCTTATCAAGTGCCTAGATACCGATGCGGTCGACGAATGAGAATACTCGAAAAACAGTTTCTTTGCTAAAAAGGGAAGGAAGACAGTCATGAGCCAGCCAGCTGTTACGTTACAGCTGTTACAGCTAGCAGACACACGTCGTACATATGATCTGGTACCATCTCATGACCTTGCTGCCCGACGTTGGGCGACTTTCAAGATGATACCAGACGTCTGGTACGTCCCTGGTTCCCGCGCTGCACAGCTAATCAATCACCTAATGAACTACCCCTACCCTTGTTGCCCTATCCCGACACCCCTCTTCTAGCTCTGGAGAGGCTGGTCCATTCCACCATACGTAATCATCTTGGTGACCTGGTACTCGCCAATACCATACTTGGACCCCTCTCGTCCGAAACCGCTCTCCTTGACACCACCAAACGGAGCCGCTGGGTCAGAGATGATGCCCGTGTTGACGCCGACCATGCCAACTTCCAGCGCCTCGGCCACTCGGTGCACCCGTTGCAGGTCTCGGGAGAAGAAGTAGCCCGCAAGACCGACCTCGACCTTGTTCGCCAATTGGACAGCCTCGGCTTCGGTCTTGAACGGGAAGATACCAGCCACGGGGCCGAAAGTCTCTTCCGTGGCCATGGCCATGTCGGGAGTCATGTCGCGGATGACGGTGGGTTGGAAGAAGTTTGCACCCAAATCGGGCATCTTGTTGCCGCCGGCGACAATCTTGCCGCCCTTGGATTGGGCATCCTTGATATGAGCCTCGACCTTGGTGACGGCGCGGTCGTGGATCAAAGGCCCGTGGGTGGTTGCCTCGTCGAATCCGTTGCCGACCTTGAAAGCCTTGACCTTTTCGGTGAACTTTGTGACGAACTCGTCGTAGATGCTTTCCTGGACGTAGAGGCGGTTCGCGCACACGCAGGTCTGACCTGTGCTGCGGAATTTGGAGGCGATGGCGCCGGCGATGGCGGTGTCCAAGTCGGCGTCGTCAAAGACGATAAACGGCGCGTTGCCACCGAGCTCCATGGACAGCTTCTTGAGGGTACCGGATGACTGCTTCATGAGAAGCTTGCCGACGCCGGTGGAGCCAGTGAAAGACACCTTCTTTACAGTGGGATCGGTGGTGAGCACCTCGCCAATCTCGGGAGTATTCTCGAGCGTGGTCACGACATTGACGACGCCCTTGGGAATACCCGCTCGGTGGCCGAGCTCCGCGACAGCCAGAGCAGTGTAAGGCGTTTCGCCGGGGGCTTTACACACGACGGTGCAGCCGGCGGCCAGCGCAGGCGCGATTTTCCGGGTAATCATGGCAGCAGGGAAGTTCCATCTTGCACATGGTCAGCCGGTTAGTCCATAAAAGGAGGTAGGTACATTGAGCCACGACCTACGGGGTGATCAGCCCGCACACGCCAACGGGTTCCTTGATCGTCCACACACGGTTCCCAGGCACGGTAGCGGGGATGGTGTCGCCGTAGGTCCGGGGAGCTTCCTCGCTGAACCACTCGAAGAAGTTGGCAGCATAGGCAGCTTCACCCTTGGCCTCGGCAACGGGCTTGCCATTCTCCCAAGTGATGAGCTTGGCAATGTCGTCGGCATTTTCCACCATCAGGTCGTACCACTTGCGCAGAAGCTTGGCACGCTCACGCCCGGTGAGGCCTCGAAAGGCGGGGAAGGCATCGGCAGCAGCCTTGATGGCCAGCTTGGTATCTTCGGCGTCGCATTCGGCTACTGTCCCGATCGGGGTACCGGTAGAGGGGTCTGGCCCATGATCAGACGCCAGGTTTGTTGCAGAATGCGATTGTGGACAGGTCTGTAGACGTACCGTCGACCTTGAAGGTGTTGCCCGACTTGGCCGCTCTCCATTCGCCGTTGATATAAGCAACATCCTGCTTCAGCAGTGACGGATCTTTCAACTATGGGCCGGGGTCAGAAGGAATGCCAAAGACAGGAGCCACCCGGCCAGCCAGTCCTCACTGTCTGACTGTCTGCCGGAGAAATTGCAAATCGTACCTGGGGAGGCATTGTGGAGGCGTATCGAGAAAGAATCAAGGAGATGGTGGGAGGAAAGCGCAGCTTAGACGTTGGAGCTGTCAGTCTCTGCCACGGCGCCATTTGGAGGTTGACGACGAACAAGCCTCGTCTACGTCGGAGCTCACAGCTTCCGACAGCAGATCCAAAATGTCGAGACAGACGCGGGGGACGGGAGCTCGTCCAATGTCACTCACTGCTGGACCAGCGACACGGATTGCTTGCAGCTTATATAATAGTGGGCTAACAGTGGGCTTGCGAGGACTGGAATACAATGTAGGCGTCACTGAATGCGCATACCGCGTTAGTCCTAATCTAGAAGGATAGCCTATTATATCTAGTGCTAATTTAGAAAGACAGGCCCCACACCTAACCGCTAGATTTAACTACTATGTAGATATATGATTCCCTTGCTTACTCCGTACTTACTGGGTATTAGTAGTGTTAATTACATCTTCTGTGGTTATATAAAATAGCTATATTTCAAGGAATAATATAATAAAGGGGTTTCCAAGAGCCTCATTGTGTTATGTTGCGTTACGTTGCGTTGCGTTATTGCGTTGTGTTGTGAGGCCCTGGAATAGGCAGCTCCTGCGAGATCCCGCGCCAACTGATTGATGCCGTGTTACTCCGTTGCACCGACCGACAGTTGCAGTTCCAAAAACAGCGCTGCCAAATAAAGTCATGCGAAACCAACTTCATTTAAATTACAAAATTCTCCGTACCGCGAACCCTTTTGCATGACCGGCGCTATTGTCTCACTGCATGCTTCACACGTGTCTTCTTCAGAGCGCAACGAAAGCTTCGGCACGTATCAGTGCTTGGGGCTTTACTTCGTCTTTCAAGCAAGTTGAAACGACGAAACTCATGGACACCACACGAGGTATTCACGAATTTGCCATCGTTTTCACCCTCGTAATCTGACAAGAAATAGTGAAACCTGAGGAATGGTCTTGCAAGGTATAACATGATGAATGGATCAATAGTCACAGCATTCGTAGATTGTTGCCCATGCCCCCAATACGCCAGGTATCCCAAACATAATTCCAAGTCAAAGGTGAATTGAGCCAGCCCCGCCTCACATGGCTTGTCCACATCTCTCCTGCATCCACCCCATAGCTGCCTGTTATGCAAACTCCCCACTACCGAAGCGTGACAACGGCCTATCGCGAGCTTTGGTGCTGTCGCAGAGGAAGCTGTCTATCCAGAGTACGGAAGGCCTGTGTCCTCGGCGTAAATGGTGATTCGCGAATCGACATGGGCGACTTCATGCTCTGCATCTCCCAGGTCGATCGCTCCTTGAGGTCCGAACTGGTGGAGAACTGGTCGTCTTCCTCATCTACGTCGTTGAGAGGGTTTGGCCACATGGCCCAGATCGAAAAGCCCAAGTTGAGCACATAAATTACACTGTTTGATCATCAGCGATCCAGACCCAGTTCGTGTTTCCGCTGTGTCTCCCAGACGATGAAAAGCGACGACACAAGCGGGGGCGCACCCATCGACTTACAGCATGTATAGCGTGATAAACAACGACGCCTGGGCTATTTGGCATGACCTGTACTTGCCATATTTCTTGGCCAGATCGCAACCCTGTCGGAAATACCACGCCGCGGGGGCTGGATATCGTGCATCTGCGTAGTCGGGTCCGATTTGGCCGTAGGTGCTGACGACGTAGAGGGCCACCATGGCGCAATTGACAAAGGTGGCGAAGACGGGATACCACAGTTGCATGATGAAGGAGATGAGCTTTGCGAGGAGGAAGAAGAGCGATGTGACGGAGATGGCGACATTGAAATCGGTCAGACTGGAAACAAAAACCCAAGTTAGCCAACTTGTGCTTCCTCCCTTGTACCCGTGGCATGCACATAAAAGTAGCCGATCAACGGCGTGCCCTCGACACGGGGACATCATGAAGACTGGATCAGCAGCAACTCACGTCTGGGACCAGATGAAAGGAATCTTGGGCAAAGGCTGGTAATTTGCGTAGGCGTATAAGACCATGTTAGGGTTGGAGTTGAGTTTATGCTGAAACCCAATCTCCCACATGGTTGATCGGTACATGTCTGGCTGTGCGATGCTGAAGATGGTGAGGATGGGCACCAAGCCGATGAGTTCGAGGGGTATGAGCCATGCTGTTCCTTTTCTTGCTGCTCGAGGCCATACTCGGTGGAGGATGCGGTATGAGCGGGATTCCCGCGATGTGAACAAGGTGAGCTTCATTGTGGGAGGCAGTATATGCTCGCGGTGTTTTCGATCATGCCATGCATGTATTGATCTGACGTCGTCTCGTTGTGAGACAAGCTTCGTTGCGGGCTGTTGAACCTAATGACCTCCTGAGCGATTTTGTATGTTCTTCGTTATGGTCG